GTGCAGCTTTGCACTTTGATTCAGTTAATATAATCAGTGATGTGTACAGTGTGTTTGTACCCGGAGATCTGACCTTCTTCATCAGCACAAAAGCGTAGTGCTTTCTTAGTGTTGTTGACCTTCAGAATGATTCAGTTCACTGACTGACATTTTGGTTTCTCCCAAAGGGCAGTATGGAAGGGCCAGAGCTCCTGTAATACCAGACTTCTGTTTATGCTGCAATTAAGATGACTACCACCTGTCAGTAACTGGCATATGGTTCAGATCCAGGGCATGGCTCACACATCTCAAAATCAGAGAGATTACTCTTTATCATATATTTTCTTACAAGTACCATCTCACTGGAGTAGTTCGAAGAACATGGTCTACCATCTGAACAAAATGGTCAAGAGCGCCTGGAGGGCACTGGAGAGCAAGTGGGGTGCTTTTTTATTGCGCAGCTGGCAAATATGGTGTTGCCTACACTAGACTATTGGACACAGAACCTAATTGTATTCTAATAGTTCTTGATGGATTGCAGGTGTGCTGAAGTTCTTTTTTAACTTCAGTTGCAGTCAACATTCTCCCACTTGTTATCTCCTTGAAAGTAATTAAACTAATCACCAAGGTATTGTATTAGTTACCACAGCTTAAGGGCATTTAGGAGCTACTCCGCTAGTAACTGTGAAGAAGTTGTTATGAGTAGCACTGGGCTGGGCATGTATCCACATACCTTTGAAGTCCTGTGCTGTCTCTGAAACTATCTTAAATGCAGATATATCAGTCTAATGTTTCCAGGTGTTTCATTTTTTTAATACAGAAAAGGGTCAAGTACTGAATGTCCTTAAGTAACACTAAAGGAAAGAAGTGCAGCTCAGTGGAACAACTGCTCCACCATTAACACGGCAGAAGAAAATGGTTAAGCTATGGAATGCTGTTATCTGGCTGGGGTAGAAATTCTACCCTTTCCAGCAACAGGTCCTTGGTAAGATACTGGGTTCTGATTTGAGTCACTTACCTTAAGAAAAGAGGTTAAGCAAATAATTTTCTGCTAAAGAGAGTCAACAGTTTGCACACTTAGTTTAAACCCAGAATCATCAGGTTTTGGCAAGCTATATTTTAGAAAGCAGTTTTGAGAAAAAAAAAACAACTAAGCTGCAAAACTTTTTTTTTTTTTAAGTTCACACAGGAGAACTGACGGTTTTGTCCTTTAAATTTTGAAGAAAAAGTATATTTAAAACTTCTGTGTCTCACTTATTTAAAATGGACTGTCAAGACATGGTGATAAGTTAGTAGGTTCTCAAAGACCACAGATGAAGAGTTGAAGTAAGAGCTTTATGCACTGTGACTGCAACATGTGACCAGCCAGCTCCCCATTGAGCTGAGGAGCATGCAGTCCATGAAGAGGACTATAAACCAAACAAGGAAAAGTCTCATGCAACCTGTAATTTTGGAATTGAAGCCCTAGCTCTACACTTGGAAAATTACGCAAGTGCAAACTGTTTTTGAAGGAGCTTGAGTTAGACTACTTGTAAATTAAAATAAATTACATTGAAGTAATTAATAAATACTTCCAATGTTCCTTAAAAATAATGCAATTTGAATTGTTTTGGGAAAATAGTATTACGTATGATTTATCAGTTACATAGATGCAAAACAGGTCTACCTGTGAAGATTCGTGACTTGCAAAAAATAAGCTTAAGTTCACATCAGTACATTTTTTTATTTATTTTTTTTTTTAGTTTCCACCACAGTCTGTGTTTATTTTGCTTTACCTGTGAGATACTGCATCTGAAACTGATTCTGGGAATATCAAAATTTTCTTAATCTTGGCTTATTTTTAATCACAGCTGGGAACACCTCAGTGGAAAGTTATGAATAGGATTCAGAGACTATGACTTCTTTCAGCTCTCACAGTCAAGTAAACATTGTTTAGTCTGAATGTGCTGCATCTAATCTGCAAACTACCTGGGATGCAGTACAGTCTGACCCAGGGACTAGACATGTATTTATTTTTAATTCCTATCAGTTGTATCCGGCAAGGATGCTGTGGCATTCTTTGAAAATCCAAGTTGATTAAGTGGCTGAGCATGAGAACACTTCACATACAATCATATAATACATTCTAAAACCACTCACCATGGAATGACTCTGTATTTTGCCTGTATTTTAATTCAGACTAGGATAGTGTGATTTGGTATGTGATCTTAAAAAAAAAAAAAAAAAACACTCAAATGCTCATCTTCGTAAGTTGAGGAGAATATGACAAATGCAGAAAGCATGTTAACTAAAATAAATTACTTCAGTCCTTCCACTGAGAGACAATGTTTTTATAATTAAACTACAAATACGCAATTGTGAGTCATTCAGATGGTACCTTATGTTACTGTGAATTGTCAATGTGACTAGAAAACCTAAGTTTTGGTGTTAGTAGTGTGTGTGTGGTTATAAACTACTAAATTTTTATGCACTGAAAACAAGTCTCAGACATGTCCAGAGGATAGGGTAATATGCAGAGATGCTGACCATACTATACAATAAGAGGTTTATGAGACTGGTCAAGGACCAGTTGTGATGAAAAGTTTCAATTTTTTGTTTTGACGTTTCTCTAAAACATTCAGACAGTTCCTGTGTAGTTTATAACTTTGAATTTTTCCCTGGTTTCTTTAGTAGTATATTGTAATCTACAGCTGGTTCTCCCTTCCTTCCTTTCTTTATGTATGGAGATTTGCACTAGAGCTCTTTGAAAAACTAGAGCTCTTACATGTTGAAAGAGACTAATAAAGCAGTGTTCCATTGATCACAAAACTCTCATTCTAATACTGACGTGTTTTTTTCCTGGATATTCTATGGTAATCTTTCGAGGTCCCTTCCAACCCCTAGGATTCTATGATTCTATGACAAAGACTATAGACAAAGACATCTAGTGCTAGAAAGATTGGTTTGCTTAGATTCAGTTCAGTATAGTTCTTATTAAGTTGTCCCATTAAAGATGTTTTTGTAATTGATTAATACAGAATCCAAGCGTAAGTGGGGTTCTTGAGTGGGCACGTTTGTTTACACTGAAAAATCTTCTTATTCCATTTTGTGGTTTGTTTTTTATTTTGTTTTAAATTTAACATAGGAATGTTATACTTGTTCTCCTGGTTCATAAGTAGCAGCTTTGCAATTAATGTATATTCAAATCTTGCTAGCTTGTCAGTAAAGATCAATAGGTTTACAATCAGTCAACTTGTGTCTTTAGTTTGGTTTACTTCTGTTTTCCTCTCACAGAATCAGAGAATATTAGGGGTTGGAAGGGGCCTCCAAAGATCATAGAGTCCAACCCTCCCTGCCAGAGCAAGACCGAAAAGCCAACTATGGCAGACCACTCAGGCAGACAGGTCTTGTATCCAGAGAAGGAGACTCCACAACCTCTCTGAGAAGCCTGTTGCAATGCTCTGTAGCCCTCACAGTAAAGAAGTTCTTCCTCCTTGCTGTGCTCAAGTTTGAATCACCTCTCTTTTTCTTTAACTAGAGTAAATAATTTAACTCTTTGTTTAAGATTTTGTTTGTCCAAGCTAGAACTCATCATTTTCTGAGAGCTTCTGTATCAATTCCCACCTCAGTGACATCTGCTAAAAAGGCCATAATTGATAAGTTTCAGACTTTCTTGACACTGACTATGGCTAACAAATTACTTCTGACTCTAGGTTATCATAGAATCATAGAATGGTTTCAGTTGGAAGGCATATTTAAAGGTTGTCTAGTCCAGCTGCCCTGCTGTGAGCAGGGACATCTTCAACTAGATCAGGTTGCTCAGAGCCCCATCCAACCTGACCTTGAATGTTTCCAGGGATGAGGCTGCTACCACTTCTCTGGGAAACCTGTTCCAGTGTTTCATCAGTCTTTCTTCAGCTTTCTAAAAAGCCCCTTCAGGTACTGAAAGGCTGCAATAAGGTCTCCCTGGAGCCTTCTCTTCTCCAGGCTGAAAAAACCCAACTGTCTTAAGACTGTCTTCATTGCAGAGGTGCTCCTCTGATCATCTTTATGGCCCCTCTCTGGACCCCCTCCAACAGCTGCATGTCTTTTCTGTGCTGAGGACTCCAGAGCTGGACACAGTACTCGAGGTGAGGTCTCACTAGAGTGGAGTAAAGGGACAGAATCACCTCCCTTGACATGCTTGCCACACTTCTTTTGAAGCAGCCCCGTATGTGATTGGCCTTCTGGGCTTTGAGGACACATCGCTGTCTCTAGTCCAGGTTTTCATCTACCAGTACCCCCAAGTCCTTCTTCTCAGGGATCCTCTCAATCCTTTCATCCCTCAACCTGTATTGATACTGGAGTTGCCCCAATGCAAGTGCAGGATCTTGCACTTGGCCTTATTGAACCTCATGAGGTTCAGATGGATCCTCTTCTCAAGCTTGTAATAGTCATTTGCTAAAATAGGGAAATATTTAATGGGCAGAAAGTTTCTAATGAACAGTAATAAAAACATTTAATTCAGCAAAGCATTAGTTTAGCCTTGTATTCAAAGAAAATATAAGCACAGTCTGAACAAAGTTAAGGTGGAGCAAGAAGAGATGAAGCATTCTCTTTTTGGTCTTCTGTATATCTACTTCAAGCACTTCCCATGCAAGCTCATCCCCTCTTTTGTAAAACTCCAATGGTGAAAGGAAGTCCAAAGTGGCTAATAGGAAAACTTAAGAACTCCCTGTTCCTGGGAAAATTATTCAGCACATTTGGGAAGATATATATATAAAAGACAAGACAAGAGAGTTCAACGTGTGAAATGAAATCCAGCAGAGCAAACTCCAGCTGTGTTTTTAAAAATTGGGCTTCACCAAAATGGCTACCCTATAAAATTAAGAGTCTACTAAGAAAGAAAAAAAAAAAAAAAACAACAGAAAAAGCCCAACAAACTTGCATCTCTTTTGCTATCCACAAAAATAAATTATGACGCTAAAATCTTGCCATGTATGTCGTAATTGCAAATCATAGCTGTTCTTTTACTGAGTTTGAACTATGTTTTATTTTTGTAGGATGTCACATGTACTTCAGTTTGAAGATAGAAGCAGAAAGGTGAAAGATGCAAGCATGCAGGATGAAGACACTTTTGAGATCTATGATCCACGGAATCCTGTAACTAAGAGGAGAAGAGAAGAAAGCAAGAAGATAATGAGAGAAAAAAAGGAAAGGAGATAAAAATAATGTAAAGCTACCCAGAGCTGCCTTGAAAAGTGACTGCAGTAAAGCACTGGCTCTTTTGTAAGCTGTAGTTCCTAAAAATATCACGGGGCAAGTGTGAAAAGGCATCTCACAAGAACCTGTTGTGAGTTTTGAAGCAGAGCTATCATTTGTTTCTTAAGTTGTACTGTCAAGTGCTCTCAGTGCATTCATTATCCAAGCTCTCAAAACGTTTTTAGAATTGTGTTTTTAATAAAACATCTGATGACTTTTGTCTGTACTTTAATGGCAGGTCATCATCATTCAGTGAACATGGTAGTCAAAGTTTTCAACATATCGAATGAGAATTTGTGTAAATATGGGTGAAATTAGAAGATCGAAACCCCATTTGCAGCTTTTAAGGTTTTCTGAAAGTATATTTTTAATTATTTTTACTGTTGTTGGAAAGGCATATAAACATTATAGGAGTAAACACTGTGTGCCTGAACCACTCTGTTGCAGAATTAAGGTGATGCACTAGCAGAACTCCTTAGAATGGTTCCAGTTTTCTTGAAACAAAGTTTATTTGAGAATGTGGTTATTTTCTCCTTTTGAAATACATATTCCAATACAGATCTCAGCTTGGAAAGCTGGGATAGTAAACAATTTGGGGAGTGTTATTTCACTTTCTGCACCACATGAACAAAAAGAGAATCTAATTGTACTGTAGTGGTTGCTTTAACAGTTTCAATAGTAGAAACATCCCTCTGGTACAGTTTTCACTGTAAAGGAGTGGTAATCAGGATGAGTTTGTTAATTAGTCCAGTGCAGAAATGTAAAAAAATAAAATCAGTCTCATCAGAAAAAGCTATTTTAAACCATTTTTTTTCTATCTAAAAATGAACAGCTCAAGTTTCCAGTTTATACTTTCCACAGATTTTTCCACCTTGGGTGCAGGTAGTTTTACAGAAAAATGGAAGTTTTCAGTGCTCCTTCCTTACAGCATTTCTGATGCTGCAGAAGCGTGGACTGCCCATGTGGGCAATAGCTGAAGAAGAGTAAGCATAAGTGAGCAAGGTCATTAAAAAGTGCAACCAGAGGAGTATTTTGCTGATGTTGTTTTTAGAACAAGTTAGTTAAGGTATGGTGTTCTTATCAAGCTGCCACTGCCAAATTTCTTGATAGGGTCTGAGGTGTGAGATACATAAACCGGCATTGGTGGGTTAATATGGCCCAAATGTCAGAGGTTAGATTAATACAGACTATTGCTTTAATGCACAGTGCAAGCTTTGAGATAAGAAGAAAACTTGAAGGTGTGATGTGAGATCCTGTATAAAGCTGTCATTATCCTCCTCTTAGGCTGAGTGAGTTATACTGTTCCATGGTGTAAAGAAGTTAAGAGGGGTTAGATTCCTAAACACAGCCATTCACAGACTAGTGAGTCAAAGTTTTTTAATCGTTAAGTCATTTTCTGTCTGGCCACTATTGGTAAAATGGAGGACATCTAATTTCACATGCTATTTTCTCTATTCATTGCTTTGTGGAGATAATTTTAAAACAGTCATTACAGGAAATGAGCTTATAAAACACCCATTCTGATGGGGATGGGAGGGAGAACGGGAGAGTGTGTGTGTCCATGCTGGCAGAGGTGGTCAGTATAGGGAAATTAAAGGGCTAGATCTAGAAAGAAACTCAAGCATCCATTCCAGGAGACAGCTATTGCACTTGTAATAGAAAAATGTTCTAAAGACATATTTTTCCTGTAAACTAAAGTAGAATCCGTGAGTCAATGAATGGGCAAGTTGACTAGCAACCCGTTTAGATTACTCTTGTTCCTGTTTGCCTGCGGCAGCTCTGGGTATGCTGTGTTAGATTATTCCTATTTTTAAGCACTATACAAGCACAGGGAGAAAAACTTAGCTCAGGGTTTAGGATTCTGTTCAGTAGGAAGACGTCTGGAAGGCCGAACCTTTCATAGGCAGGGCTGGTAACATCACAAGAACAAGAAAGTACGCTGACATTTTCTTGATAAGTGAAATGTGTATTGAAAATCAGTAAACATTTTTCCAGAGATAATGTATCTTATGTAATTGATGCTATATTTGAAGCCAGATGTATTGCTTCTTCAAGCTAATGCCAGGTGGCCCGTTACTGGTTTGTGCTGGGAGAGCAGAACTGGCCCCAGTGGAGGGATGCTTACCCCAAGCAGCTTTCTTTCCTATGACTGATGAATATCACTCCAGGTGTAGTGGACATTGACTGTATTAAGCCCAGGTTCCCAGTAGCAAGCTGGTACTTGCTTTCCACTAAGGCTGGGTGTCTGGATGCAAAAAAGAAAATAAATTTGTAAAGTGAAGTAGAGGTTGGTTTCAGGGATTTTTAGAAATTAGAGTTGGTACCAACTTCCTTGGCAGTTTGCATTTTGCTGTGTACCAAACCCATACATAAAGATAAGAGTATTTTGGTTAAAATCCTTCAATTTTACTGTGTTTGTGAATGGAAAATCCACTTATCTTTATGGGAACAGCGGGAAGTCCCAGACCCTGGGTGCTTTGTGAAGATATTTGGATTACTCTTGTCTATAATCAGTCCTGTGCCACAAGGGCTTGGCATGAAGACTTGTGCATTCAGAACTCACTGTGAGGGAACATCAATGAGAAATGCTACAAATACATTAATTTAAGCATTTTTTTCTTATCAGTTCTATGTGACAAAAAATATTTTAGAATACTGAGCTCCCAGACAAACAGCCCCTAAACAGTTGTTAATAATTACAAATTACTGTTACAGGTGTTACTAGTCTTCAGGGGTAATCAGCCTTGCATAGTTTTTCACAGCAGGCACTGAATAAGCTTTTCTTAGAGTTCTCAGTTAAGCTGTATTAATGCCAATTAATATTTCTTCAAACTAAAGGATCTGCCTTTATTCCTTCACTAGGGAGAGAACAAATCTATGCTTATAAGGAAAGAAACAACACCTGTGCAGTAACATTACCTTCCATTTTTAATAAAGGGCATTCTAATAGACATTTCTATTCTTGTCATAATTCAACCCAGTGACAAAACCTTCCTAGGACTAAGGACTGACACATGCCTCACTTTGAAAGCATTAGAAGTATGTTAAAACTATCAGACCAATAATCTCATCTAGTCAACCAAGTGTCATGTAGAAATGGGTAAGGTGTCTAAATTCCACACGTTTCACTAAGGCAAAGAAGTCCTGCATTTCATTTAGGAGATAATCTGGAGTAAAGTGAGAAAGAGCTGTTGTCAGAAGCACACTCTCAAGTAACTGTCCTTAAACCCTTGAAGAAAGATGTTGAAATTATTGCAGTTCTCTGAAATAACTAATCTGAAATGTCACAGGTAGCTCTTATACTGCCAGTAACCATTTTGCATATTTCCCATATTACTAGGTGAGCAGAAGCATCTTTTAACTCAAACCTATTTTTTTCATCACTTGATGCTGTTATAGTTACATAAAATGTTGAATGCTACAGGATCGTAGTATTTTTATAGGCTATGAAACAAGTGTGCTCAGAGTTACACCTTTATCGGTCAATACTGAAAAGCAAATGAGAAGTGCAATGTAGGTAGGTGTTCCCCTTTGTGAAGCAGAAGTCTTGTGCTAGGTTAGTGGCTGAAAACAGAAGGAACAATTGGTTTTGTGGCTGCAGAAAGAGTTTGTTCTATGGTAGCAAGATTTTTTATTGAATGTATTCTCGTGATTTTTCCTAGTGAGCAGCTCCCACGTTCCACTCGGGTGGCTAACACCTCATCCATCTGTATTAACATGTGAACATAATTTCTGCATAGTTGTAACATAGCTGGGAACATTTGTCTATGCACTACTATTACAAAACCAGTGTTCTGACACTTACTTAGAAAAGTTTTCCTTCATAAAATATGCTAATTATTTGCAGAGATCAAGCAGCTTGAGGATGGACACCACAACGCGGGTGTGTAATTTCTATGAAGAAATCACTGTTTAAAATTGCAGGGTATGCTCTGTTTCTCCACCACCTGATTTTTTGATTACTCATTTCAATATGTGAAAAATTGTGCAAGTCCAAACTATGACTGAATTTTGAATGATAGCGCAAAGGTCAGGGCTACTTATTTTTAGTGGCAGCTAAACTGCAATTTTAATGCATTAGATTTGCTGCCAACACAGTGGACCAGTGTCAACAAACAGTCTGTGAGACAGAGTCCTTCCAGTCATGCCTGCCTTCCATGTAATGGGGCCTTTCATTTCATTAGAGAGAATTTGACTTTTCTAAATGAAAATATAGGTTTGGGGAAAAGTCTTATGTCTCTGCACAGAACATTCTGTTGGTAATGTTGACTTTTTTTTCCAGACCAGCTGGATTTCAAGAAGATAAGGTCCTTTTAGGCCACATCTGGTAATAGTAAGATCCTCAAGAACAGCTTAAAGGCTTGCTTCACGAATCATGTCAGTGATGCCAACAACTAGTACAATGTGCCCTTTCTGCTTTTGAGCTAAAAAAACCCTCAAGTACAACTGAAACTGGTTTATTTCTGCCAAACAGAAACACTGTGCCGAGGCTGCTAGGGGTGTAGTCTGCAATGCCACATTACGTAGCTTTCCCTGAGCTGCAGGCTTGCAGCATGAGCAGGTTTGGGAAGAGCTTGTTCCTGTACTGTCTTCCTTCCACAGTAGAAGGGTGTCTGAACTCTCATGGCTAAAATAGCTGCACACCAACATGTTCTGCTTTCGTCTAGAAGACCTCAAGTTCGCAGGAGACTCGGTTATGTTTTGGCAACATAAAAACAAGGCTCAGACAGCAGAGATAGCTCCAGACTCTGCCTCATTCTGGCAGAGACATGAGCATCTGTTGTTACTAAAATGATGACAGACTTGGGCCATTAGAAGATGAGGGGACTCCTATGTGTGTCTTCTGAAAAAAAGATGTAGGTACTTGCTTATATCTTTCACTGTAACAGAACATGAGTTGATCATGCACTGGCAATGCTTACAAGGTTCTTGCTGAAATAAATGCAGCACAGAGGATGTAAAGT